CCTCGCCCCCCCGCCGCTCAGATCCCCTAGACTGGATCCCTGCGGAAAGAATCCTACAGCGCGGTTCCTCCAATCAGACGCCGTGCGAGGATACACATCTCCCTTTGAGTTCTAGCTCCGCAAAGCTCAACTCAGACAGGGGCGGCCCGAGCGTGAGGATCGCAAACTCAGTCCGGATCCCCGGGGACCCAGTGTCAAGCAGATACCCCCTTCACTCCAATCCCGGGAGGTCCCGCCCACAGACCCCCTCCCACTGCCCTCCCCCCCGGATCCCCGCCCAGCGCTCTCCCCAGCCCGGGACCAGATGGTTCAAATGTTTCCTTCCCTCCCTCCTCCCGCCCTCTCTCCAGCCGCTCGGTGCCCTCCCCCGCGCGCCGCTCACCGCCGCCTCCCGCGGATCCCGGGTCTTCGGCGGCTCCCACCTCCAGTTCCTTTAAAACCAGCCTTACCCAGCACTGCCCAACTGCTGAGGGCCTTCTTCTCCGAGCCTTCGGGCACCGCCCAATCGCCGGTCCCCGTCTTCCGGGGTGGTGAGAAACTAAGTGAAGCCGCCTGGCAGCCATCATCCCTAGGGGCAAGAAGCCAAATTGAAGAGCGCCGCCATTATAGTTGAGGGCGCGTCATGTTGTCTTCGATGGACTGAAGTGGACCGGATGGCGTCATCTTCTGAAGGCCTGTTAGTGGCCAAAGACTATACCAAGTTTCTTGAGATTAAGGCAACTGTGGGGAAGTTAGAGTGCCGCCACGTTTTTTAAGGGCATCTTCCGGTTCTTCGTTCTTAGGCCAATAAACGTCAACTGAGTGCTAACGATATGTGAAGTTTCCAATTTCCTAGAGAGGCCGCAGTGAGGCCGGTTCCGGTACCATCCTGGGTTCCTCAACCCGGTTCCCACAACGCAGGGAAGAGTTTGGGAAAGAGGGCGGGGGGGCCAGAGTCTAGGGTTGGTGCCGCCTCTGGCTCCGTTGCTCGTGCGGTGTCCTGGAGAGAATGGACTGAGCCAATGTGGCAAGGAGGCGGGGGGCGGGGGGAGGCGGCGTTGAGCTTCACTTCACCGCAGTGTTATGTACCTCTTCCTGAAGGAGTGGGGGTTTCTGCGGCCCGCGCAGAGGGCTCAGTATAGGGACATCATTACAGGAGACCAGTAACCACCTTGGCGTACTTGGTAGGGTCCGCCCGCTTTCCTCTCTGTTCCAGGCTCCCACGAGCCCTCTTTCAAGAGAGGCCTGGCTGATGTGGCGTGTAAATAGTCCTTAGTAGTAAGGGAACAGAGATGGAATTCCGCTGTTTGGAGAGGCTGCATCATGGAACCTTTACAAGGAGGCTGGCTCTTGGTGGGGAGGAAGCGGGCATGTATCGGCTTCTTGCACTGTGAAGGCGCGCACACCGCTTAACCGAAGCCCGTGCCTCCACTAGTTCTCCTTCCCCCAGGAGTCCCTGGTCCAAACCAGTACTTATTTTCTTGACAGAACAGGAGAGCCTGAAGCCTAAGATCCTGGCTATGAGATGAAGGTGCAGAGTGACCTACCCAAATCAGCATAATTCTCTCCTATTGGATTGAATGATAAAAGTAATGACACAGAAGGATGACATGGAAAGAGCAGAATGGGTAGGAGCTGGTGTGGGAACTGAAGACTCCCAGCTCTGTAACCAAGGACTCATCCAGATAGCTCTCCCAGGACTACAGCGATTCTCTGTAACGCGAGGCCTCCTGGGTCCTCTGGAAATCCGTGAGACTTCTGGTGGGAGTAGACAGCAGCTCTTCCAGCCAACGGTGTTCTCTCTCACCCTGGATCAGGGCTCGCTGTATGGTGCCTGAGGATTTTGCTTGGAGCGGGGAGTCGCATGGTAATGTTTCCAACTATGAGTGCTGGGAGATCCTTCTCAACCTTGATGAGCTGAGAGGCCCTCTATAGCCTCTCACTTTCCTGCTTAAACACACAGGTGCTTCCCAGGCCCCCGGGTAAGAAAAGCCTGCAATGGCAGAGCATGCCTGATCTGAGTTTTGATTCTCTATGTCTCCTGAAGAAGTCAACACCAAGGGCAAAGGAAGTAGCCTAAAGAAAGGACCTGGGGCCTGGCCCTGTGGCCGAGTGGTTAAGTTCACGCGCTCACTTCGGCGGCCCGGGGTTTTGTCGGTTTGGATCCTGGGCACCAATGTGGCTCCACTCGTCAGGCCATGCTGAGGCAGCATCCCACATAGCACAACCAGAGGCACTCACAACTAGAATATACAACTCACAACTGGAATATACAAGCTTTGGGGAGAAGAAGAAGGAAGGAAAAAAAAAAGAAAGAAAGGACCTGGGCCTGAGAATCTGGCAGGGAGGGCCCAGCCCCATGATGCTATCTTGGGGCACTGGAGTTCATCAAATTGAAGTCTAAAGTAGACTGTGGTGTCTTGGCTCTCAGCCCAGGCCAGCAATGGCAAGACCTTATGGCCTCATGGGCTCACCTCTGCCCTCTTTGTAACTACCATTGCAACAACTCTTATACTCTGGGGTGTGGCCAGTGTGTGCTGAGCCATTGGAAAGAGGCCCCATGAAGCCTCCAGTGGAGCAGGCGATTGGCACATCTGTGGCATATCAGTGTATCATTCTTCAGAAACTCTGGGCGCCTTTGGACTCTGGGTGTCCCATCTGCTTAACTATTCCTGGCCTCAGTGGTCTCATTTGTAAAATGGGAAAAATAAACCCGGTCATGCCTATCTCACAATAGACTTGGAAGATCAAGATCAAGTGAGAAGGGGCCGGCGCGCTGGCGCAGTGGTTAAGTTTGCACACTCTGCTTCAGCAGCCCGTGGTTCACCAGTTCAGATCCCAGGTTCGGACATGGCACCGCTTGGCAAGCCATGCTGTGGTAGGTGTCCCACATATAAAGTGGAGGAAGATGGGCACAGATGTTAGCTCAGGGCCAGTCTTCCTCAGCAAAAAGAGGAGGATTGGCAGCAGATGTTAGCTCAGGGCTAATCTTCCTGAAAAAAGAAAAAAAAAAAAAAGATCAAGCGAGAAGACACATCTAAATGTGCCTGATAAATAAGTCAAGTCTCAGGCTGCAGGTAAAAAAAACTACCTCTTTCTCTCAGAGTGCTCTGCCCCTTCTAGTCCTCAAGCCGGCTGCTCTGCTCAGTAACTTTCTCAGCAAAAGCCTCTAGCCTGAGCTTCAGATCAGCCAGGGTGGGTTGGGTTGGATTGTGGCTGCAGGGTGTTGAGATGGGTGGCGTGGTCAGTTATAGCCCTTTGCTGAGAACCACCCCTGAGAAATGACAGGAAGCCTTGGGTTTGTGTTGCTACTCTGATTCACATCAACCATTCAGCAGAATTTCCACACCTCCTATATGCTGCGCCCTGGGGATAGACAGGTGCCTGTCCCTGAGAGTTTGGAGTTTATATCCCTGTATACATGATTGCCATTGGCTCTGCTGCTTTCCTCAGCTTCAGTCCTCTCCACTCTGAAGTACTTGGTCCAGCCAAGTGTCAGCACATTCCTGCTCAATTGAATTCCCTCGGTGAGGAGCTTTCAAGACCCACCTCTGGGGGCTCTTCCACTCTGGTCAGCTACTTCAAGTTACTAGAATTTTTACTTATCTGAGAAAGCTGGTCCTGTCCATGGTCTCACTCCTCTTCCCCAGTCTAGAGAGGCATCTGCCATCAGTTCTACCTTGTCTCCTGTTTTTTGTTTTTTTGAGTAGCAGGTGATGATAGGCGGGTGCCCAAGTTTGGAGGAACTGAATAGTAAAGTGACAGGGCTTATGGTGAGGATGTCAGGAGAGAGGAGAAGGTTGGGAGGATTGGAGAGAGAGAGTCAAGAATGGTGAAGGGAGCTGCCTATTAATACCTTAAACAATGGTATGTCACTGTGCCAGTTACCAATTTATTACCAGTGAGCTCCAAATTCATTCTTTTTACCTGCTCTGCAAAAATGAATCTGGACCCTTTAAGTATTTTTTCTTTGCTGGCTGGCATTATATTAAGTTTTGTCAGTAGACAGCTGGTGAGACATTGCAGGAAGAAAGGGTTTTGCTTCCTGGTTCCACGGAGCCCTCTTGGCAGGCTCCTGCAGTGCAAGTGGATTCCCCAGCTCCCAGCTTCTGCAGTGCAGGCGGCTTCTCCAGTGCCCGGTTCTTGCAGTGCATAGTGAGTGGGCAGCGGCACCCAATGGCCAGCAGCTTCCCCTGGTACACCCCTTGGAAAGTTTTGTAGTGGAGTGCCTCTGGTGAGACACCTTCCCATGAACAGTTTTCCCTGGCACCCTAGAGGGAAGATTTCCAGCAAGTTCCACCAGAGCGGCACCCAGCAACTTCTGTTCTCTCTCAAAAAGTTCTGGATCTCGGGCTGGCCCGGTTGTGCAGCGGTTAAGTTCGCACGTTCTTCTTCTCGGCGGCCCACGGTTTGCCAGTTCAGATCCCGAGTGTAGACATGGCACCGCTTGGCAAAAGCCATGCTGTGGTAGGCGTCCCATGTATAAAGTGGAGGAAGATGGGCATGGATGTTAGCTCAGAGCCAGTCTTCCTCAGCAAAAAAAGGAGGATTGGCAGTAGTTAGCTCAGGGCTAATCTTCCAAAAAAAAAAAAAAAGGTTCTGGATCTCATCCCCAGGGAGGCCCAAATAAAGGATCTTTCTTGGGTGCTATACCTCCAGCTGAAGGGTAGTGGCTGCTCCTTATATCTGTTATTCCTGCATTCTTTAGAATTCTCTTTACTTCGTACTATCTGTGGTGGGCAGAATCGTGTCCCCCAAAAAGATATGTTTAAGTCCTAACGCCCCGTTCCTGTGACTGTGACCTTATTTGGAAATACAGTCTTTGCAGATATAATCAGTGAGGTCATTCTGGATTAGGGTGGGCCCTAATCCAGTGATTGATGTCCTTGTAAGAAGAAGGAAATTTGGACACAAACACAGGGACAGAGGAATGCTATGTGAGGACACACAGGAAGAATGCCGCGTGGCAACAGAGGCAGAGATTGGAGGGTGCATCTGCAAACCAAGAATGCCAGAGACTGCCATCAACCACCAGAATCTAGGAAGAGGCAAGGGAGGACTCTCCCCATGGTCTCAGAGGGAACATAGTCCTGCTGATGCCTTGATCTCTGATTTCTGGTCTCCAGAACCATGAGAGAATAGATTTGTGGTGTCGTAAGCCCCTAGTTTGTGGCAATTTGTTATGGCAGCCCTAGGAAACTGTACACAATCCAATCTCTCATTTCCCTAATTCCCTGTAACAGTTGATAATTTTTTATAATAATCTTTTCCTTTTTTTTTTTTTTAAAGATTTTATTTTTTTCCTTTTTCTCCCCAACCCCCCCCCCCGGTACATAGTTGTATATTCTTCGTTGTGGGTCCTTCTAGTTGTGGCATGTGGGATGCTGCCTCAGCGTGGTCTGATGAGCAGTGCCATGTCTGCGCCCAGGATTCGAACCAACAAAACACTGGGCCGCCTGCAGTGGAGCTCGCGAACTTAACCACTCGGCCACAGGGCCAGCCCCCTAATCTTTTCCTTGTTAAAATTACTATGTGGTTTTTCTCTCCTGATTGGACCCGGACTTATACCATCACCAACAAAAATACTAGTGTTTAGCATTAAATAAAATGGAATATCTGAATTTTGAATGTCCTTGCCGCAGTTACTATGCAGATATTTCAGAAAGTAAGCTGTTTTCGAGAGAAGCTTAAGTCTACACCGCAGACATATTCCTTAAAGGCATTTTGAATGCTCTTATCACTCCTGAGAAAAAATAGAAAATGAGCACAGATGGTACCTGTGAGGACATCTGGCTCAACTGAAGTGGAGGAAGTTGAGCTGGACAGCTGCGTGTTGTCTAAAGGCAATTCCTGGCATCCTATGGTTTCAGGTGGAGGCCAGCTGTAGACAACACTCAGAAAACAAGTTCAGGTAGAGGTTTCTGGAAATGAGTGTGCCTGATGTTACAGGCCG